ATTTGTATGATAAATTCCCCAAGTGGGTTTGATGGGACAAAGAATAGATATGTGTGTGCAGATTTGATAAAGATTGCTGCCAGAGGCTTACATTAATAATTAGGCACATCACATTAATCTATAGAGCTTTCTACGTATGTAATTATAGGCAGTCACTTAGCCCAGATGAATCATGGTGGGCAGAGCTGATAGCACTGATGTCATTAAGAAGTACTTGTATGCATCTACTCACTTTATAGCATTGATAAGGGGAGCGAGCATGGGCAACAGAAATAGTAATAATTTCTGTCATTTCCAGGTGTATGGCACAATGTTTGTGGGGTGTGTGGGCAGGATTTCTAAATCATCTGGGAGATTTTTCAAGTGACATCTGCCACTTCCAATGCCTTCCTAAGATTCTGGTTCACCATCTCCTCCCTCTTACCCACAGCATGCGCCCTCCTCTGGGGACATACTCGCCTTTCACTCTTACACCCCATGGGCCCACAGTGAGATAGTCATGGATGGGAGGGAAAGAATCTCGGAGCAATGGATAGCTCTTCAATTTAGAAAAAAAGGCCTTATGGAAGAGAATATATCAAAATGCCTTCATTCTTCTCCTTTTGCAAGAAGTCGGAGAAAACATTGTCATGAGACACTGCTGGTCAGCAAATTGGCATTTGAGGACCCCTGCACTCTTCTTTCCCACCTTTCAGCTCAAGAAAATTTACAGGTAGCTCCCCAGATTTGAAACTTTCCCCCAGTATTTTGTGTTATCATTTCTCCAATGTCAAAGCTTTTTCCGCTCTCGTGCCCTGTCCTTTCCCTGTCTGCTCCGTGATCTTTTTCTCCATCTGGCTTTCGAAATCTGATCCATGCAAAGAGTAACGTCTACTTCCTTCAGAAAGACTTCTTTAATTATTGTACTCCACAATTACAATCTCACCCTCTTCTCCACTTAGCATCTCACGTGTTTGTTAGTTCCACCTTCAGATCTAAATGGTAAATTCTTCCAGGTCATAGAGTCTGTCTACAACTGGTTATATCACACATGGCTAGCACAGGACAGAATAATGGCAGATATACATTCCCTCATTCATCTCTCAAAGATACTGCATGTCGACTCTATTCCAGGCCATGTGCCAGAGACTAGAAATACAAAATCATGTGTGAGATAATCCTTGCCCATGGAGAAATCAGAGTCTAATTACACAGATAATTAAAATAAAATATGATATGTTGCAGTTTGAGAATAGTTAATAAATTCAGCAAATCATCAGCCAGAAGAAGTTAGAAAACATCATTCTCTGTTTCCTCTTCCACAAATCTTGTCTCTAGATAAAACTCAGTGGTTGTAAAGTAGGTGAAAAGTGGGTGTAACTGGACTCCTAAGATATCGCGGGCTCCTGAGAAATCATAGAGCTAAAGCCAAAGGAACCCCTTTCCTCCCCAATCTCTTTGACTCAGAAGGGGAAGAAAGCCAAGCTTGTAAGAAACTATAGCGATTATGCAAAACTGTCAGGGGTCCAAGAGAAACACAAGGTCATATAAATAGATAAAAAGGTGAGACAGAGGGGTAAAAGAGCCCAGAATAGAACAATGGTCTCACAGACACTCAGGAGGGAGCTGGGAGAGGGAGGATGAAACTGAGGGGGTGCCCAGAGGACTTGGGGAGGGCTTCAGTCTCAGAGCTGCTGGATATAGAAACCAGGAGGCATCAGGGCTTAAGTCCAAGGGAGAGAAAAAGAACACAAATGCACAAGTGTTTTTTTTCTTCGTCAGTCTCTGCCTTGGCTAGAGTAGCCGTGGCTTCAGGTTCATCAATTAGAGGTCTCAATTGGGAGACCAGGATAAAGCTGGTAATTCTAAGGAGCCTGCTTCTAAAATTTGGGGATCCTTGGTCCATCGTTCAGTTACCTGAGGAGATGTTTTCTCAAAAGAGCTGGCACAGAGGGCCTCTTGCACGGAGCAGTTCCTTTTCATCCTCTCACTTGCTGCTGAGCCCTGGGCTTAGACTTCCATCAGCGAACACTTGGGGCCTTGCTGGTAGTTTGTCTCTAATAGGCGTGTGATCCTGGGCAAACCCGTTGAAGTGTCCTGTTGGAAAAATAGTGTTGGGCAAGATGTCCTTCAGGATCTTTTCCAGTTTGGAAGTTCTCAGAGTTCAGTCGTTTCATACTGGAAAATCAGCTCCTCCTGGACCTGAAATGGGAAATGTGGCATCAAAGGATCAGTGTGTGGGACACCTCGCCCCTTTTTGGGGGGACAGTTAACTTTTGCATCCTTATTTATAAGGCCAATATAAATAAATCAATGCCTATGCTCATCAACAGTTTTGGAAAACTTTCAGTGGGTCTTCCTTTATTATACCCACTGGGTTTTAAAAGACCGCTTCTACTTGCTTATAGAAATGCTCAGATGTCATATAGAAGCTATTGCAGTTTGCAAATCCTAGGAAGTTTAGAAATTCTCTCAAGCCATGTGGCTTGACAATGATCAAGTTCAGACAATAGCGCAGTCCTCCCCTTCAGTAGCATAGCCAGTCCAGGCCCCCTTGTTCACACATGCAGATTCAGGGAAAAGCCCCAAGACCTAAAATCTACCTTCTAAGCAGGGAAAGAGCCAAGAAAGAGGCAGGCTACTCCAGCCTGGTAATTAATGGAGTGTATTGAGGGAAGCTGATATGCGAGGTGTGTCTTGGGCAGTTGCAAGATAAAATGGATCCCTGTGCCTCTTGTCAGGGGCCAAAGAATGATGCAGGGCAAAAGGAATAGTCACAAGTACTGATACATGCATGCTACCAGGTACAGGAAATTGCTTTAACGCTTGACCAGGTCAGACGAGCACTTGTTCCAGGAAGGAGGAGTACATAGCAGAAGGCAAGGAACAGGTACTGTTTTATGTCAGAATGAACATCGACTATAGTCCAACAGTCTCAAAGGGGGTTTGCACAGGATGACCTCCATTCTGGCCCTGGTCCAGCGTGCAGGACACACAGCAGCCATGGAACAGTCTCTCCTCCACACCCCCACCCTCAGGCCTAATGCTATTCAGCAAATTTTCATGAAGGGATAACCCTATAGTCAGCAGGATGCTACAAGTGGTGGAAGATCCCTGTCCTCAAGGAACTTCTGTTCCAGCTGGGGAAACTGTCCTTAAAAGAAGCATGAACAATGCCAAAGCACCACGGTCTAGAACAGAATCGGAGAGTCCTACAAGGTGAAGAAAATGAAACTCACTTTCCTTAATGTTCGACCTTTGCAGAAACCAACTGGGACAAATGGGACAAAGAACAGATATGAGGTCAGAAACAGGGATGAGTGGGAGAGGGATGGTACGGAGGGAAGACACAAAGATGTGGTCCCAGTTCTGTTGGAGGATTGAAATGACAGAGCGGTTACTCTCCCCTTTCAAATAACCAGGATTTTCCAAAATTCAACTTTCAGTTCATAAGTAGGTATCTTTCTTTTGAGAAGGGAGTCCAGAAGATTTAGGACTACCCTCCAAGTTGGGCTGGGGCATGGAACACATTCATAACTCAAGGTCAGATTCTAAAAATAAACTCCTTTGACTTAGTTCAAAGTCCTCCTCTACCAGTGGTTTTATTGTAGAAATCTTGTGGGACCAGCTACTGTCACTTCTTATTGGTTGCATGTTTTTAAAAAATAGTCCGTGGTTAAGCTATTAAATGATGAACTGCTAATTACAGGGATATTCCTTTCATTTATTTCACACTACCAAGATGTTCGTTTCTTTTATTTTCTCTCCTAATGCCTCTGTGGAACAAACAGCATTTCAACAAGAGTAAAATGTTTTAGGAAGAGATATCACCAGAGACTAACACACCCCTTGTTTTCACCACCACCCCCAGTTTTTATGTCGATGCATTTGTATTTTTACCTAATTACAATCATTCTGTTGATACCATTATGTAATCTGACTTTATCCTTTATACTACAAACATTTTTCATAGCTCTTGTGATTATTATTTAATGGCTGCATAATATTCCACAGAAGGGATGTTCCATTTTTGAGTTAGCCATTTTGTTAACCTCAAGGGCTGTTCTTGGCCCTTGAGGCTGTTGTTAACCTGTCAGTGTTATTCAGCTCATCTATTTAGATGTGATTGTTAACAACACATAAAAATGTCTTTCAGAGGATTGTTTCTTGGAGATGAAATAAACAAGCAGTTCCAGCTACACCGTGTATCTATTAGATAAACATGTGGCTCCCAAACTCTAAAAGCCAGGGGTGGAAAATAACTGGTGGGTAATTGGTTGGTGGGTAGATAATAATTCTTCCTATGACAGGGTGGTCAAAGCACCAATAGTTTGTACTAAGATACCAGTGACGTTTATTTCCATGATTAATGACTAAAACAGTAGAAATAGTACTTGGTGCCTGTTCTAGCTTCCTCTTTCCTGTCCCTTAATGGCAAAACTGCACAAATGGGGACAACGCTGTTAGCACTTTTCCATTAGACTACTAATTAGCATCTCTCAGGTTGGCTTCGAAGCATCAATTCCTGGGGTCAAGAGGAACGTGCTCTTCCCCAGGCAGAAGGAAGGTCTCCTACTGTATTGACGTTAGCAGGTGGGGGTAGGGTGGGAATTGCAACAGGTGGGCACTGGTATATAAAGCAGGTGAGAGACGTGGGCTACATATTGTCAGTCTGTGTCTTCCCACAGAAGTGAAAGAAGTTCATGAGGAAGCATTTCACACTTTCCAGGAAAGGAGGAAAGAGTTGGGGGATGAGGGTGGCAGCTGTCACATGCGCTGAATGGAGAAGGCTGCGATGAAGGCGGGGGAGGGAGTCGAGGCGAACTCCCTGTTGATGAGTTAAGGGGACTGGCTGAAGGGTGAGCCAGGTGAGCCTTAGAAGCAGTTGTGCTCTCAGCTCGCAGGCCTGGAGGGGGTGGGGGGAGCTGCTTGGACCCGACGGCGCGTTGCGGGCTGGGGGCGGGGCGCGCGGTGGCGAGGCCGGAGGGTTGGCCGGGAGGCGGGGCCTGTGTGCTAGCAGCCCAAGCCGGGCGCTGTCCCTTGGGTGCGTCCTCTGCCTGAGCTCGGTGCTGTTCCCTGCACGCGTCCCGCGGCATCCCGGCGCCGCCATGCTCCTGCTTCTGGGGCTGTGCTTGGGGCTGCCGCTCTGCGCGGGGTCGCTGGAAGAGCCGCGGAGCTGGGGTGACACTTCAGAGCAAGTAAGTGGAAATCTGGCGAGACTCAGGGAGAGACCGGGCGCTGGCTCTTGTCCCTTCCAACTGCCTCCTTAGGGCGAGTGGCCACTGGACAAGCTCCTTTGACCAGTGGTGGACGCCAGGAAGGGAGATGTGACCCCATATCCTGTCACTTTGTCCCCCACTTTTCTTCTCTGTTCCTCAACCTCCTGCAAGGGAGCTTCCCTATCTATTTATTGGTCACTCGTGACAAGAGTCTGAACGGTGAAGTTTCCTGCAGAACTGTGCCTGGGACTTCAGAGTACTGCAGAACCAAATCTTCTTGGCTCCTATTATCTGCACAGATTTCTGCTAGTTTTTTGTCATTGTCATTTCTGAACCGAAGTTCTCAGTTAATGAAGTGGGGTCGTGTGTTGTTACTGTTCCTCCTAGCTGTTCATAGAGAAAGCACAATCTAGGGAAAGTTCTAAACTCCTAAAAGCCTTGCTTTTTCCATCTGAAAACTGGGAGAATATGGACATTCCACTAGGTGGTTGAGGACCAAGAACCAAAGGGTCTCAGTCCTCCTAGTTAATATTCTGTGTACCTCCCAGGGTTTGTGTGTGTGTGTGTGTTTAAAGATTTTATTTATTTATTTTAAAGAAATGGGGAAGGGAGGGAGAAAGGGAGGGAGTGAAACATCAGTGTGCGGTTGCCTCTAGCACACCCCATGCTGGGGATATGGTCTGCAACCCAGGCATGTGCCTTGACTGGGAATCAAACCGGTGATGCTTTGGTTTGCAGGTCTGCACTCAATCCACTGAGCTACACCAGCCAGGCCAGGGTTTGTGTTTTAAGTGGCTTAATCTCACAGATGGGTAAAACCTGCAAACATGAAACCTCAATACAGTGTCTGATGAACAGAGAAGCTCTTTGCAAACTATCAAATGAGTTCACATGAATATCAATATAAAGACCTTATAGGGAGAAATGGCTCTGTCCCAAGCAGATAGTGCACACTTACACCTCCCGCTGCTGTTTACACATACATCACTTAAATTATTTTCAAGTCGTTTCATCCGAAGCATGTTATCACATGATGGGAAGAGATAAGTAGGCGTATCCCCCCCACCCTTTTAACGCCTTGGTTTACAAAGCAGATCCAGAAGATGGAATCTGCCTAAACATCAGATGATCACATTCTTGTCTGCCTTGTGGATATGCTTCCTATAAAATGGAAGAAATGGTCATTTTTTTGTAGGGCTGTCAGAAGGGATGACCCATCAAAATTCCTGGGGGCTGTGCATGAAGTATAGGGGAAGGGCAGGCTGTGAATCCAGAGAGAGGCTGGTCTTGGCCATTTGCAATTGTGTGGCCTGGACAAGGGTCTAATCTCCCTGCCCCTTTTTTTCCTGTTGATCACAGCAGGAAGTAGGTCTCCTTTTGAGAAAACTTGTAATGATTCGGCTGCTGGTGTGTGGAAGGTATTCAGTAGGTACTCAATAAATGGTAATATTTTAGTAAGTGGTTAAGGGTGTGAGTGTGGTGCCAGGCAGCCTGGGTTTGGTTCCTGCGTCTGTCCCTTACCTGCTCTGTGACTCTGGGCAAGTTCTTGCGGCCTCAATGTCCAGTTCTGTTAAACGTGGGAAATAATACATCTCAAGTGCTTGGAACAGTGTCTGCACTCAGTGTTGCAGTGGCGGGTAGGTCTGGGCAGCTGAAGTGCTGAGGAAAGGAATTTAGGGTAAAGATTGTAAAACGTTTTTTGGGGGGATGGAGAAAGGAGAGTGTGGGAAGAACTGAAACAAAGATTCTGTTTATGAACTAGGAGGAGGGATTAAAGCTCTAACATCTGCAACTCCAAATAGGCCATTAACACTCTCTGAACTCTCCCACATAAAATATGAAGGGGTTGGCCCATTTTAGTGATTTCATGCTGTCTTCAACCCATGGCCCTACTTATTCATCTGGAAAATGACTAAGTCAGAAAAGAATCCAAGATATGTAGTCCTGTGAAAATTAACAATTTTACCTCTTCATTACAACACTATTAAAATTTATCTATCATCTATGTCTCTCTCTCTAGTGTGATGTAGGACTTAAGAGCACAGGCTACAGAGTCAGGTTTTCAGGGTCGGTCTGGTTCTGCCCTTACTGGAGAGTTAGTGTCTACAAGCCTCTATTTCCCCATCTCTAGAATGTGGATAACGAGATAACTCAATTAAAAGGACTTTGAGGGAATTAATAGTACACTTAAACCTGAGAACAGTACCTGGAAATGGACTTTGTCCTCTGTCCTCTATTCGCAGAATCATGGTTTTCAAAGTTATGTGTAAACTCAATTTTTCTTATGTAACTCAAAACTGTGCAGTTTCAGAGAAGTTCTCTTATTTGTCTTTAATTGGAGGTATTACTAATACCATCTCAGTAATGGATTCAGATTCCTTTCTGACTTGCCCTCCACCTCACCTGTAATCAATATTACTCATAGCAGGACTACCATAAGCAGAGTTTTTCAAACTTTGTTGCATAAAATGAAACTCCAGGAGCTCACTGAATATTCACGTTGTTGAGACCTTCACTCCCATCAGTTTAGATCCATTCAGTTTGGGTGGGGCCCACGTGATCCTGATGACGGGGATCTGTGGACCATCCTTAGAATAATGCTGCTTTCAGACGGTTTCAGGCAATTAATATTAAGAAGGGGATTTCTTGTATGAAGTCAACCTGCTACAAATTTATTCGTTTTGTAAGTTACAAATTGATAATGGATTCTTTAAATAAGAATAGGCTCGTATTCCTGTTATTACAGAAGCAGTTTTTAATTTACAAAATAATAATAACTATTATTAAGGGTCCATATGTCCCAAAGAGTTTGCTAGGACCTCTATGTAAAAATAATAAGAAGCAATTAGGTGTATGGTTAAGAGCACTCCGGGTGGAGCCAGACTGCCTGGGTTCAAATGTGTACCCCACCACTAAGTGGCCGTGGGCACTTGGGCAAGAAACTTAACCTCCCTCGGGGGTCTCAGTGTCATCACCTGCAAGACAGAGTTGTTGATGGTTCCTACCCACAGGCAGGGGCAGGTCTAGGTTTTGGGAGGTGAGTAAAGTTTACACAATTTGCAGGGCCCTCTTCAAGAAAAAAAAATCAGATGATGACTACAAAACTAGGTGCTAAAGGGAACATTTATTTAGGATGATAAACACATCACAACAAATGACACAGCTGACAAGTTCACAGACACAAACAAGTATCGCTTATCGATGAGGCACTGTACAAGGGAGGTTCCCTGAAGCTTATTACATCCCATCAGTGTCTAAATAATAATAGGAAATTAAATAAAAGTATAACCCCCACTTCTACTCTTATGATTGTTGTGAGGATTAAATGAGTTAATTCAGGCAAAGCGCTTGCCTATAGAAATAGTCGCCATTTGCAGTATTTATGTACAGCCTGGCTAAGTCCCCGAGTCCTCTGCCAGGAGGGTCTCAGTGTGCTACTTTGCCGGAAGGCCCGCAGAGGAGTGACGCAGGCGCCCCTGCATGCACAGCCGGGGGGTGGGACCGCAGGTGCGCTGGTACCAGAGGCGGCACTCAGTGACCCGCCAAAGACCAAGCCACTTTCATGTTTCCAATCTAATGTAATTTGTTTCAGTGCGATTTTTATTTGTAGCCCTCGGTACATAGACGGTGTTCAGTTTGAGGTCCTGGCACCACGTTGACTGTGGAGGCACATTTCTAATTCCCTGAATTGAGAATTTCTGGAGTTTAAATTTTTCCTAATCTCTCTCTCAGAACCAAACCTTCACATTTGGGGAAACACACAAAACAAAGAGAACTGTTTCTTCTTTTTCTTTTAAAAAACTCTTTGAAAAAAGATGTCAGTAAAAGACTCGGTGAATTCCAGACCACTCAGTAATGTCTCCTTTATGTGCATGTGTGGGATTGCTGAAACAGGCCAAGAGCTGAAGGGGGAAGGAGGATGTTGGGAGAGAGAGTCCAGAGATCTGCTCACTCCCTAACCAGTGCGTATCTTGTTTCTCTGAGGGAGGTGAGAATGTTGGGGGGGGGGCATGGCAGGAATCCCGAGGGTCAGGCGATGCGTCTTGCCTATCATGCTGTTGGTTCAGTGGGAAACCTGACAAGCTTTTTGTATCTAAGGAACCATAGAGTCTGTTTAAGAAGATGGGGCCCTGAGCTCTCTGGGGTAGGACAGGGGGGTCCTGAACCTCTTCGTTATTTTCCTGCAAGCAAGGCCCATTTCCCTTGCTTTTCACAGTTAAAAGAAACAGTGGTTTTCCCCAAACTAGTTGATTTTCTCTTTTAAAGTTGCCTGGAAATTGTTTGGAATTTAAGCCTTAAAATGAAGTTTCTTCTTCCATTACTGAGATTTTAGGCATCCCGAAATGAAAATGGTTAATAGCTGAATAACTCGCAGCATAATTACTCCAACGAAAGAGAACTTCTGTGCAAGTGATACAGAAATACCCGAATGGGGATCTTCCCAGGCTAACTGTCCTCAGCCCAGGTGATAAATGGCATCTCCAGTGAACCTGTAGCCTTTGGTTTTGTTTCAGGTCCTATATCTTAAGGTAACTGAGTTCTTGGGTCTTGGTTTCAGGATTTTAGAATCCCCTCAGAAGTTGGGGCCAATCAGTAGATGAATTCTCAGTACAGAATCCTCTGGGAACTCATGACCAGTTACCTGAAGGTATGTGGCTGAGGAAAGTGCAGGGTCTCTTGGCTCTGTCATGGGACCTGCAGACCCAGTGACAGGGCACAAAAGAGAGGTAGGGGGCTTGAACCCTGCCTGTCAGTCAATCTGGGCCATTAAGCGTCCACAGTAAAGGCAATGCACGCGTTCTGTGTTTGCAGGGTGTCTTTCACCATGGGTAGACTTAGGATTCAGTGCTCTCCTCTCTTCCCCTGCTTTCTCCCATTTATGGACTTTTTAGAATGCTTTCATGGTGTTTTTCTTCTTTTTTGTTCATGATCCAACACTGTGATGGATGCTGGGGAAAAAAATAAATCTTTGTTATCCA